CAGCTTAAAAAGTCTAACCATTATTTGAAAGCCGGTAGCTGTATTTGCTTATCGTCTAATAAGTGCAATCTCGGTATCTATCGGGCCAATCTTGTTCCATTTCTAATTTATTATACAAATCGTTAAACAAACATTAAATAGTATTTATAAACAACATTCAAGTTTGCTTTGATTTGTTCAAAAATTTTATCATTCAATAATAAAAGGCGAACTACGGATCAATTATGGCTCTTTTTTTCATTATATCGAAAAATGCCAAACTCGCTTAGTACAAATGACTATCAAATCAAAACTAATTTATAAATCACTTTGTAATGTTGTACAGCGGCATTTGAAAAATATCAGTGCATAATCATAATACCTGATAATTTCAACAACGCGCCATCCACTTTCAAACACGGATACTTATTGATCTAGTCTGTTTAGTGAATAGACGCGGAAACTACATAAATTAGCGTATAAATTACTTTTCTCATATTAGTTACCTTAATAAAGGTAATTTTTAGAAAAATTATCTCTTTCACATCTCTGATATAATTTTAACCCATTAAAGCCCACGCTAAGACTGGTTGAGATAGCGACAAACAAACTGTGCTATCTTTTGCATAAGTGAAAAATAAAATATACGTATTTTTTTTTATGTTATTTTCAATTGTTTATAACAAATTATTTAAACAAATTACAAAAAAATTCATAATTATCAAAATCTAAATGCGGGAATCGATTCTGGAGGTGAAATCAAGACGAAAACCTATATAACACTTTTTTGTCAGAATTCAATTTGTTAGTGTAACGTAGGAATAAACAATTGCATGTTGGGGAGAAAAAGTGACCATGTCAAGTCCCAAGCAAAATCTATCTGGAATAGCAAAAAATAAACTGTGCTATCCTTTGCATAAGTGAAAAATAAAATATATATATTTTTTCTTATGTCATTTGCAATTGTTTATAACAAATTATTTAAACAAATTACAAAAAAATTCATAATTTTCAAAATCTGAATGCGGAAATCGATTCGGGGGATAAAATTGAGATGAAAACCTATATAACACTTTTTTGTCAGAGTTCAATTTGATATCTTTATGTAGAAATAAACTATTGACAAATAAGTGTTTTCATTCTCACACATGGTATCTGGAATCATATCAGTATTTTTTACTGATAAATTTTGAGATCTTATACTGTAATTGGATAAGTTTATTTCATTTCGTAAATCCTTCCGTGTTAGAGATCACGTTTGAGTGGCGGGCTAACGGTTGAAAACATTTATACATTGGATCTATTCTTTGAAATAATAATTTCGGAAAACTTTTAGTTTTTATTTTGTTCTAAATTGGTAACGTTACTGATAATGCCGAGACGGAGAATTAGCGATCTACCAAATTTAGTTGAAGATTCTGATAGTGATGAAGGTCAACATATTGATATAGCATTCATTCCTAATGAATATGAAAGTTCAGATGGAGATTCGGACGGTGATCCAAATGAAGATACATTATCAAATGAATTACCATCAGGTTCTTACGAACATGTTAAAAGTACATACACAAGTACTCAGAAATTGTTGGAACCGAATCATAAGTACAGTTGGAAAAATGATGCTTTGAATGATATTTCTCCGCATGTCGAGAGCAACTTCAATATTTCACCTATTTCATCATTGCAATCCAAAAATGCTTTTGAGTTGTTTGAGGTTTTCTTTTCGAAATCAATGAAAAACCATATCATTGAAGCCACTTCTGAAAATCATTTTGATTTATGTATGGATGATCTAGAAAAATTTATTACAATCATAATGATTACTATCTTCAATTCTAGAAAAAGTATTCGTGATTACTGGTCAAAAAAGCGAATACTTCAGTGTCCAGTAATTGCGGAACTTATGTCTAGAAATAATTTCGTTGCCATAAAAAAGAACATACGATTCTATAAACTTCAAGAAACTGATCAAAATGATAAAGTCTGGAAGGTTAGAACTCTGTATGATATGTTTCGTGAGAATTGTATGCAATTTGGTTTCTTTGACTATAATTTATCAATAGATGAGATAATGGTAAAATACTTTGGTAGGTTTGGTATCAAGCAATGTATAAGGAATAAACCCATTAGATTTGGAATAAAAGAATGGGCAGTCTGTTCTTCTGATGGGTATATATATGATCTTGATATTTACACTGGTAAATCAGGAATCGATGAACGAAATCCTTTAGTTGCCGTTGGTTTAGGGTCTAGAGTGGTGATAAAGTTACTTTCGAATTTATTAGAAAAAACACAGAGAGAAGAACTGAAAAAGTATCATATTTATTTTGACAACTTTTTCACAAACCCAGATCTTATGATTCATTTGAAAAAAAATGGTTTATCGGCGACAGGAACTGTTCGGCATAATCGTGTGAAAGTGAAAGTCGAAATGCCAAAAAAAGCTAAAAGAGGATACACTATTTCAATGCATGAAGTGAATTCAAAATTGAATTATATTACAGTTATGGACTCAAAGCCAGTATCGATTCTCTCTTCGAAATATGGAAATGAACCAAAAGTTGAAATGCAGAGATGGCAGGAATCATCGAAAAAATCTATTCTTTTTCCTCATTGTTTCTCTATGTTTAATGAACACATGGGTGGCGTCGATCTACATGATCAACACTGTAATGCTTTGATGCCTACAATTCGAAGTAAGAAATGGACATGGTGCCTTGTATTACGGCTCATCCAAGCATCCTTAGCAAACGCTACAGTGATTTACAATAAGTTACATCCAGACGAAAGAAAAGGTTCCAAAGATATTGTTCAAGAAGTTTGTGAATATTATATTGACAAGTTATCTTCCAAACGTCCCCCCAAACGACAGAAACAGAGTGAAACTTCATCCCAAGAACACGTGATGAAACATGGGAGTCTTAGGAAATGTGGAATTTCAACATGTCGGACAAGAACGGAATGGTATTGTGAGAAATGTTCTATGCCTGTTTGCAAAAGTCATAAAAAAGGACATGGCAATGAACAATAATTCAATCCCACCGATTATATTTACAATAATTCATGCCAATATTGATGGATAAATACAATAATTAGCTTCATTTTATACGATTTTTTGAAACACTCTCAGGAGGCCGAATGTTTCTTCCTTCATTACAATAACTAATTGGCCTCTGACAGAAAAGTGTTATATAGGTTTTCGTCTAAACTTTACCCCCAGAATCGATTTCCGCATTCAGATTTTGAAAATTATAAATTTTTTTATAATTTGTTTAAATAGTTTGTTATAAACAATTGCAAATGACAAAAGAAAAAATATATATATTTTATTTTTCACTTATGCAAAGGATAGCACAGTTTATTTTTTGCTATTCCAGATAGATTTTGCTTGGGACTTGACATGGTCACTTTTTCTCCCCAACATGCAATTGTTTATTCCTACGTTACACTAACAAATTGAATTCTGACAAAAAAGTGTTATATAGGTTTTCGTCTTGATTTCACCTCCAGAATCGATTCCCGCATTTAGATTTTGATAATTATGAATTTTTTTGTAATTTGTTTAAATAATTTGTTATAAACAATTGAAAATAACATAAAAAAAAATACGTATATTTTATTTTTCACTTATGCAAAAGATAGCACAGTTTGTTTGTCGCTATCTCAACCAGTCTTAGCGTGGGCTTTAATGGGTTAATACACTATGTGAATTTGTATAAATTATTGTACGTGTTCGAGATAATGAGTAAATGCGTAATAACACTTGTGTAATGCATTCATTAAGTAACTGCAGCTAATGTGGGATTTTATTTGAAAATCGACAATGTATTTATACTTTTTAAAAAACAAAGTTACAAATTTTAACTACAATGCTACTCGAACACTGGCCAAATCCGAATAACTTGACGTTTGGAAGTCACCAAAAAAATTAGCTCCGCTCTTGGCTGAGATTTCATTTAAAATCCAAGCATGCTCGAAATTTATCCGGACTCCGAACATGTGATCTAAGCAGGGCTCGTCTGCTTTGCTCTTTTCGCTCCCCCTTTCTCATTCTCGATAATCGGCCTCGGTACACATATGGTTTACCGACCCGCAACTACATTCATAGGGAGAATTTAGCTTCCCCGGGATCGTTAGTCTTGAGAAACCGTGTTTCCCAAGATGAAACATGGTATCATGACCATGGAGTCATACGAATGCGTTCATACACACATGGAAATTGACAGGGTTTGAATTTTCGCTTATTTTAGGTACAAGGATTTAGTTGATGCTTTCGTGGGTCAGCAACTCCGGGGCTATCGCACGATAATTACAGCACTCTCGACTTAAAAAAAAAATGAGGAACGTATACTAATTGTTTCAGAATTATAATTCTATTATCCGCTCGATGTATATATTTGAAGTTTGCGATTTTCATTTTATAATGAGTCCATCGTTTACATTTTTTTTCTCGACAGACCTACCGATCGAGCCTGAGGTTAGGAAACCCAATGATTGAGAACGCACATGAATGATTTATAATAGCAGCGTCGACACATGCTTCGATGTTAATTTCAAGCCATAAAATATGAAATAAACCCTTACTTTTATTAGGGCAAACAGGACACCGAATCGTCTACACGTTTATATTTTTACGACCACGAGATGCCGAGAGAGGACCGGGCGTAGCACATAGTTCATAGATGTTGCGTCATTAGCTATTTTTCCTTCTAATATTCACCCGGAATAGTACGTTCGTACTACTCTTGTAATAAATAACATCATTGATGCATTTTGTAAATATAGTATTTATCCTTGGTATGTAAAACAAATTCGCTTTCAGAGCAAACACATTCTCGATCACAGAAAACATTCCTTTACGCCATTAATATTAAATGAATTATTTTCGACTTTATGGATTACTACTCATGAAAATAAATGTCTAATATTTCAAAATGACTGGCGTGTACTAAGCGGAATAATTAATAAATTGTTTGTAAATTTGTACTTAATTTTCTAATATTGACGTTTTTCTGTTTCAGGGAAATCATTTTCGAAATTAAAGAAAATATTGTAGCAGTAAAAAAAAGACTGCAAAAAATTGCATCGGAATGCAATGCATGTTTGATAATTAAAACTTAGATGATTGGACAGTAAATAATATATATTTATTTATACATAGCTGCCATAAATCATATTCTTAAATAACTAAATCAGCACCTGAAGAAAATGCATGGTGTTATAATGTTATAGATCTAGAAGCCATTATATATACATACATATATATATATAATACACCAAAATATAAAAATATCATCTATACATTCAATGATTAAAAGTGTTATTTTTTGTTAACTAAGTTATTTTATTGTAATAAAAAGTATTTAAAAAATTGTAATGATTACAGTTGCGTTTAAGTTTAAATTTCTACCTTCCATAATTATGTGTGATATTTTATTTATTGACTATTACAAGGAAATGAAATGAGTTACAAGTAGGATGTTATTGACTTACTTTTTAATCTTTAACGTTTCGACGACGGACCAATTTCTTTCTTATTTAGATAATCGTCAGAATGCCTTTTATTCTGCCACACTTACACAGCCCTTCTCTGTCACAATCCTTTTAGAATCTAAGATCAGATAATCATATTTGAAAGCCCAAGAGACAATGTAAATATATTTTATTTACTTTGACATTCAATGATATCCGGTTTACATCAAACACTTTTACTATAGAAATTCTATAAACTAGCAAATGTATGGTGGCATACTCGTAGTAGTACATATTTACGAATTTCCAAGAAGTAATCAATTTCCAACGAATTTCTTATGTAAAATGTTTATCAATTTATCACAAATAAAAATTCTTTGTTCTAACCAGTAATTACAGGAATAATTGCATGATTCATAATTCAAGGAATATTCTTGCGGTATTACCATAATTAGTACTACTGTTACCTGATATTTCGAGAATCTATTAATATTTGTAACTTTTCTTTTAGACAATCGTTAATATTTTGTTTTCTCTTATCAATAATTTGAGATTCTACTCTATAGAAATTATAGCCAATCAATGTAAAACAACTTCTGTCCATCAGTACGAAACAATAAATCATAAGATTTCTTACTAGAATACATCAATACATTGTAACGGAGATACAACCAATAAATCGAAATGGTTAAACCCATGGTCGTCCGTGTAAATTATTTAAAAAGGCTTGACTTTGGAAGGCTCAAAAATTCTCATGGCTGAATAATATATTAAGCGAGTATATATAATATGCTTATATACTATATATATTCGCGAATATATTAATCACTTTATTTACAAAAAAAAAACACATCTGTACCTATGAATAATTTTCTCGATCACCTTCCTCTATTAACTCAACGAAACGCAACCAAATGTTAAGACTAACAGAGGAATTAGCTAAACTACTCGGCTACTCACGCGTGAACGCGACGCTCAAAAATGCAAGAGAGAAAGAGAAAAATAAATACATGGCACCAACCTTTCATACCTTAGCGATCGTTTTCTGCTACTGTCTTTTTTGTTGCTCGCTAATGTTGCTGCTGCTGTTGCTTTGTTGCTTATTGATACTGCTGCCGTTCAAAATGGCCATATGCACCGTAAATGTAGATCTTTGCCGGGATCTCACACACACACCGGTGCAAGGTTTGAACACTGGCTGGGCGCAATTCAGTCACCAAACACTAAATCAACACTCACACACCCACACACTGGATGTATATCCGTAAAAAAAACCACAAATCCAGCGAAGCCGCACCTGAAAACGAAAACAGTCAAAGACGAAAAGAAAATCGGCAGCGCGCGCGATCCTAAAACCCAGCTGTTACTACTGTCTCTTAAAATTTCTCTCTCTACCCGTCTCTCTCGCTTCCGTGCTCATATTGCCACTATATTTGCCACGTCTCACGTTCGCCTCTTCTCTTCCACCGCAATTGCTAGCCGCTTTTAACTTCACCCATCGGCTTTTCTGCCTCATCTTGAACAAGAACAAAGAAAATCTGCATGAATATGCACATGCACAGAACTCAGCAAACGGACGATCGTGAGAGTCAATGGACGAATCGGCAAGGCCATGATTCTTCGTTACCAAGTATTTAGATAATATAATAGTTACTAAAATGTACGCGAATCATTTGAAAAGGTTAGTCGAATCAGTTTTAGAAATGAGCCTGAAAAAGAGTGAGTTTGAATTCTCGCAAGTGACGTTTCGAGAATTTATTAAGTTTCAAATTGGGTTATCGTGGACTATGGCCGTATTCAGATCTATAATGTGAAATAGTATGTAGATTTTTGTATACGCGTGACTGGTACGACAGGTTTATCAATTATGAGAGCGATCTGAAAATGTTACTTACAAAATTGGTATCTAAAGCTCAATGATAGAAGTGGAGCAGCGAGTAATAAGAAGCTTTCAATCGATTGAAAAAGGCCTTAACTACTATGTTGGTGCTTGTGCGCCCAGATTTTGTGAAACTATTTTACATATACTGCGATGCGTTGACATAGATGTTCGATCCTTATCTATTACAGATAGGTGATGAAGGAAATCAGCATCTGATTCGATGAGCATAATTTATTCGATGGATACAATATTCCAAAGTTATTTTGGAAATAACAAAATTTCTTCCATTGATAGAAGACACTTATTTTATAATTGTCACTGAATATACAGCGTTGATATGTCACTATCAAAGAAAGATCCAATAGGGCTTGTTTGGTATTTAACTACAGCAATGGAATTTTGATATGGTTTAGAGAAAAGAGATAACTTATTATGTGCTCGACGCTTAATTTCGAATTATTCATGACGCGAGATGTATTATATTTGTTTGTTGTGAGTTATACACACTGTTTCAGACCACCCGTACACCCCTTTTAAAATCTGAAATACGTGTTTGTGTAAAAAATGATTTAAATGAAAGTTGCTAGAGTCTGAGAGGTACATATTGTGGTGACCTTGAGTTTGACCTTGAAGGTCAGTTTAAAGGTCATTTAAAGGTCAGCTTTGTTTTCTTAAATAGGAACCCCTATTTTGACATCGAATTTAGAAAGAGCGGAAAATTCTACGTTTAGATGACTTATTATATCTGGGATCCGGAAGACCCCCCAAGGTCAGCGCCAAGGTCATGCGAATTTCAATCTTTTTTTTCATAATGTTTTTATCTAAATGACCTGGCAGCGGTAAGGTTTAGCGAAAAATGTTACAGAGGAAAGTTACCAGACTATAAGAAGGACATCTTCTGATGACCTTGGCTTCGACCTTATTTAAGGTCATATCAAGGTCATTTCAAGGTCAACTTTGCTTTTTATAGTAGAAACCCCTATTTTCTACACCGGATTCGATAAAAGCGGGAAATACTACCTTCAGATGGCCTATCACACATGGAGTCCGGGATTACTCCCGGTCCAAGGTTACTCCCGAAGGTTCAGTTTTGTTTTTTTTTCTTAGTTTTTCTGTCTAAATGGCTTGAAAATTATTACCTTCATGATAATATTTTTCAAGGTTATTTCGGAGTCATTTTAGATTTTTTGAACAAAAACCTTTGAATGATAACTTTGAAGTAGGTTATTTTGACTGAACCGATTATTCACGTTTGTCTAGATGAATTAGAAACGAAGGCATCATCTAACCTCATCATAATAAAGGAAGACAAATTAGACGTCGAGTCAGAGATGAAAGAGCACCAGATGTTATTGCATCAGCTAACGTGTTTCCTCATGATTCTTTAACTCGTCGATCAATTCATTCAAGGATCAGCAAGTCGACAATTTTCCACATTTTGAAGGAGAACAAATTTCACCCATACAGATTGAGCCTCCACGACGATCTTCTTCCAAACGATATTCAACGTATACTTGATTTCTGTAACTGAATCGGACAGCAACCTTGTGACTTTCACAGAAGTGTTTTGTTCTCCGATGAATGTATATTCAAAAGTGATGCAGAGGTAAATAACTGGAATTTTCGATATTGTTTACAAACTAATCCTCACTGGTTGAGAAAAATTGATCATCAACATGTTTGGAAAGTGAATGTTTAGTGGGGCATTTACCAAGGACAAATTGTGGGTCCTGTATTATTTGAACAGAATTTGAATGGACCGTGGTATACACAATTGATCCGGAAGAATCTTCCTGAATATTTAGAAGATATTACACTGCAACAACGTCTTGACATGTGGTTCCAACAAGATGGATGCCCTCCACACGCTTCGATGACTGTACGACGATTACTAAATGATACGTTTTCGGATAGATAGATTGGTATTGGTGGTCCATCGAGTATCCACCCCGATCACCTGATCTTACTGTCATGGACTATTACTTGTGGGGCCGGATAAAAGATTTAGTATACCGCGAACGATCCACTACGAGGAATAATATGATTAACGGGATCACTGAAGCTATTCGATCTTTAGATCGCAATGATGTTCTTCGAGCCGTTGATCATTTTCCTACAAGAGTAAATGTTTGCCTCCTACAGAATGGAGATGTTTTTAAGTACTTGAACAAGGTAAAGATTAGATTAAATGTTGCCGTCCTAATTTATCTTTGATGTTTACATTTTTGTAATTATTGTTCACGTTGACAAAAAAGACTGAATAAAGTATATTGTAATTTATTATATCTAATGAAATAATGTTGCTTATGTTATCACCTTTTGATTCAAGTTATAACATCTCAATGTAATGAATGTCAATTATAATAAAGGAGAAATGTTCAATCACACTAAAATTTAAATACTGTTTTTTTAGCATCTGCGATAGAAAATATCACTTACCTGTACGGTTACTTTACTAGGAAAGATGGACTTTGTAACATATGTTAGGCACATTGTTTATGACGGAAAATTAATGAAATTTCAAATACTATGCCAGATAGATAAATAAATCATTGAAAAATAGGTTATTCCTTTGAAAATAGATATTATATGAGAAATTCTAGAAAGTGAGTATATTATTATGAGAAATGCTAGAAAGTGAGTAAATGATAGGTAGAGCAATCATGGAAGATTATGGCCTCTACTAATATTGTGGATTTCCCGCGTAGTAAAAAGTAATGTAAATACATAACAGTATTTCATTTGTTTACGAATATATTAAAGATAATTTATTAGTATTGGTAACAGAAAAGACGCTTGAGTAAACTTTCAAGGAATTGATCTTGCTGTAATGGAATATTCCTAGATATATTGTGACAGATAACGGTAAGAATTATTACGGCAATGAATTTGAAGCAACGCTTAAAAAATTTATGGGTAATTCTTGGTTAGTTCAATGTGCTCAGAGATACTAGGTCATTGATTTCTTTTTAGCTA